AACTTTTGGAGTTGAGTGCAGAGATACAACATGTTATCAAACACATACGGTCATGTAATCACCACCACAGGAGACAGCAAACTATGGACCTGATCTCAGATTGTTTGCCAGTTTTTTAAAATAATTTCATTGAAACACATTCATGCCCATTTATTGCAAAGCCTAAATTATTTGTTCTCTGACCCTTTACAGAAAAGTCGTTATAATTTTTTATAAATGCCCTTTATCAAATTAAGAAATTTCCCTTTTATTCATACTTTACTGAAAGTTTTTATCATGAATGCATCTTAAATTTTGTCAAATGCTTATACTGCATCTATTGAAATCATCACATTTTTTCAAAAATCTGTTGATGGGATAAATTATGCTGATTGATTTTTAAATATTGAAACAACATTTCATTATCTGGAAAAAACATTACTTGGTCATGATTTATTTTTTTCATATATATTGCTAACTTTTATTCACTACTATTTATTGAGGATTTTTGTGCATATTTACAAGGGCTATTGATGTGTCATTTTAAAGAGTTTTGTCTGATTGTTTATCAGTGTAATACTTGCCTCTTAAATGTTTCTTACTGTTGTGTCTTTGTAAGAGTTTGATTAGCACCGGTATTATTTTTTCTTGAAATGTTTGGTTGAACACACCATGAAATCAACTGGACCTGAATTTTTTTGTTGTTGGAAGGATATTAACTACAGGTTCATTTCCTTTAATAAGTATAGGACTATTCAGGTTGCTTTATGTTCTCTTGAGTGAGTTTTGAAGTTTACGTCTCAGGGAAAAAAAAGCTCATTTAAGTTCTGAAATGTACGAGCATCCAGTTATTCATTCTAGTTGCTTATTATTCTTATAATATCTGTAAGATCTGTCTTGATGTTCCTTCTTTAATTTCTGATATTGATCATTTATATCATCTTTTTTGTTAATCATCTGGCTAGCGTTTTATCAATTTTATTGACCACTTCAAAAAACTAGATTTTTGTTTTCATCGATTTATCTTTTGTTTTATGTTTCAGATTGTATTGATTTTTGTTACCTTTGTTATTTTCTTCTTTCTGCTTGTTTTGGTTTAAACTTGCTCTTCTTTTTATAATGTCTTAATTGAAGGTGAAATCACTGAGTTGAACCCCTCATTCTTTTTTAATAAAGCATTCAGAGCTGCACATTTCCTCTAAGTACTGCTCTAGAAGCCTCACAAAGAGTTTTTAGTTGTGTCTTCGTTTTCAATCTTTTCAAAATATTTTTAATTATTCTCATAAATTCGTATTTGAGCCGAAAGAACTATATTGTTTAGTTGAAAAATATTCGGGGATTTTCTAGGTACATTTAACTATTGATTGGTTGTTTATTTATGTTGTGGTCATAGAACTTACTTAGTATGATTTCAACATATATAAATGTGTTGAGGTTTGTTTTAGGGTCCACACTATGGTCTATCTTGGTCAATGTTCCATGTGCACAAGAAAGAAATATGTTTTCTGCTGTTGTCATGTTGTTGATAGTGTTGTTCAGGTCTTCTATATCATACTAAATTTCTGTCTGGTGGTTCTGTTGGTTACAGAGAGGAATGCTGAAAGCTCCAATTCTAATTCTACTTTTCTTTGTTTCTTATTTCAGTTTTAATAGTTATGGCATCTTGTATTATAGGGTTCTTTTGTTAACCATAAGCACACACAGAATTTTTATATCTTCTTAGCGAATTGACCTTTTTATTTTTATGTTATATCCCTCTCTATGCCTAGTAATATTGCTTCTTGTGAAATGCATCTACTTTTATATTAATGTAGCCACGGGAGCTGTCTTTTAATTATTGTTTTATGTTATTTCTTTATTTTTCCTTTACTTCTGTGTAATGAAGTAAAGGAATGAATTGTAATAGAGTTGTGCCTGTACTTTTTTGTGTGTATGATCATCTCTGTATTTTCCTTAGTGTGTTTAGATCATACATTTCATTGAGTATAATTATGATATGGGTAAACTGGAAGTCTACCCCCATTGCTATTGTTCTTTCCTATTTATTCCATCTGTTCTTCATTGCATTTTTCCTTGTTTGCTTGTTATTGGATTAAATATTTGTATAACACTATTATTTACATTTATGGCTCTCTACTCATATATTTTAAAATATTTAAAAGGATGCCATAATATTTACAATATAAACTATTAATTTATTACATTCTAACTTCAAAAATATTATTCTGCTTTATGTGTAGTATAAAAACCTAATGATGGTAGGCTTGTAATTCCCCTGTCTCATCTTTTGTGCTAATGTCATTATACATTTTACTTTTACATATGTTGGAAATTACAATACATTGCTACAGTTTTTACTTAGGCAGTAATTATAAGTTAGAAAACTTTTAAATAAAAATATATATTTTATTTTATATGTATAACATCTTCATATATATATGTATATACACACACACATTTATGGACATAAATCTTCATTTTTAAAAATAAATCTAACTTTCCATCCAATATTATATAACTTCTGGCTTAAAAATATCCTTTTAGTATGTCTTTTAGTGTGGGTCTGACAGAAATAAATTGTCTCAGATTTTGATTGTTTGAAGAAAAAGTCTTTAGTAAGTATTTCTTAGAGCTATTTGTGTTGTATATAGAATCCTGGGTTAATTTTTATTCTTTTTCTTTCAGCACTTTAAAGATGTCACTCCAGGCCAGGCGCGGTGGCTCCTGCCTGTAATCCCAGGCAGGGAGTTACTTTGGGAGGCCAAGGTGGGCGGATCATGAGGTCAGGAGATTGAGACTATTCTGGCCAACATGGTGACACCCCATCTCTACTAAAATACAAAAAATTGGCCAGGTTGGGTAGTGTGTGCCTGTAGTCCCAGCTACTTGGGAGGCTGAGGCAGGGAAATCGTTTTAACCCAGGAGGTGGAGATTGCAGTGGGCCGAGATCACGCTACTGCACTCCAACCTGGCGACAGAGCAAGACTCCATCTAAAAAAAAAAAAAAAAAAAGTTACTCCATTGCCTTGTATATACTTTTTACACCAGAAGTGTGGTGTCAGTCTTACTTTTCTTCCTTTTTTTTTTTTTCTTGGCTGCTTTTGGTATTTTTTCTTTATCTTTTGTTTTTGACAGCTTGAATATGATGCATCATGGTTTGGTGTATGTGGGTACATATGTGTATGTGTGTTTTGGAAAGTTATTCATTCCACCTATGCAGAAGACTAGCAACAGACGTACGCAGCCTTTATGCCTGAAAATGTACATGTCTCTTCTCTTCTGTGTTAGTATAGAGGTTTGAGGCAGTAAGTCAGGAGTTGAGTTGGGTTTGGGTTTTGTTGTTGCTACGGTCAATTTCAGTGCATCACATGCCTCAGCTTAGGGTGGAAAAGAAGATTATTCTCTTCTTTTTTGGAGAAGGTGGTTCCTTCTCCACCTACAGTTTTGACCTTCCCTGTGCATCTGTGCCTCAGAGGCCCTTCCTCCATTGGTTGTCAATTGCTGATTGTTCCCTGGTGTTTGTTGGCCTAGTGATGCAGGGCAGGAAAACTCTCTGATGTCCTCATCCAGGGTCAGACTTAGGTAGGCCTATATCTGAGTGCTAGGGATGGCACTTTCTCCATGATCTATGCCCTCCTTTTCATGGCAAACATGGCAGCTTATGTACAGGGAAGTTTTTCCTGCCCCTGCTCTGCTGGTGTTGCTGTAATCCTGAGACCCAGGAGTGCTTTCTGTCCCTTCCACCAGGCTAAAGTGTTTTGCTCCTTAGGGGAGAGGAGCCTGGATAGGACTCTGTGCCTCTTCCACAGAATCAGCCTCTTTTCTCCCCCGGGCTTGAACTATAATATTTCCTTTGAGCTTTGGATGGGGTCCGTGAAGAAGAGCATGCAAAACGGTAGAAATGTTCCTTGTGACTGTGGGTCCCAGGGATTCTGGTCTCTCCTGCGACCTCACAGTGAGTCTAATGTCTTGGATGGTACCAGTGTCTCTTCCTTGCATACTCTGCTGCAGGTGAGCTAAGGCTCAAAACGTGGATGCTTTAGAGGACAGTGCTTATATTTCAAGTTTAGATTCCTTGGTTTCTTATCTCTCTGATGCATGCTTGGAAAATTATAATTTTATAATTTCAATTTTTCTTGAGTCAGTGGAGGGATAATACTTTTCCAACTTTCTACATCCTACGCAGATCTTCAACTCTAAATTTCATGTTTCAGAATATTATCCTAAAGAATTCTCATTGTTTGCTTGTGTTAATGTAGTTATGACATCATCTTTACCCTTTTAATATTTACTGAATCTACTGATATCTCTCTCATCATTAGGCTCTAAATATGGAATTATAAAATTTTAATAAGATAATGGAAATAAAATAATAACCTACACTAATATTTTGTAAGTGCTTCATAGAACTTGAAAATAAAGCATTTCCTATTAAAAATTAAAAATATATTTTTCTAGATACAGCTTTAAAGCTATTGCTACATATAAAGTATTTTAATGAATTACCATGAATGCTATAACCATCATGTCTCAAGACTAAAGTCCGGTCTCTGAAGGCACTAACTGCTTAAAGAAACACAACACGGTATTCCACTTATTGTCTGAAACCAGTTATGATTGCTAGATACACTGATTTTCATGGTCTTTGAGTCATTTTGACTTGGGAGAAAAATATATGTCAAGATATTTGCTTTTTAGAAAATGTTATTTTGCAAGGGAAATATATAGTTATAAAGGAGCTACTGTATAACTCAAAAACTACATATCCTTATGAATTTATCAAATGGATAAAAGAAAGTGAGGCTGTCCTAACAACATCTTCCAGAATTAACTTAGTATCTGAAAGTCTTAAAATATGGCTGGGACTCAATATTATTACCTATAAAAAAATAGAAGTTGCATTCTAGTATAACAATGTGGTCTCTTGCAGCTTCGAGATCTGTAAATGTTAAATTGTATATTGCTTTTTTTTAGTGATTCTATTGAAACCATACTTATAATGAATCTTTCTATAATTGCAGGTTTCATATGGGGAGAAATTAAACAGATGTGGGATGGCGGACTTCAGGACTACATCCATGATTGGTGGAATCTAATGGACTTTGTAATGAACTCCTTATATTTAGCGACAATCTCCTTGAAAATTGTCGCGTTTGTAAAGGTAACTATTATTTATGTTGTTGGTAAAGCATATGTTCTGATTATTAATGATATACTTTCAATTGATATTAATTTTATTAATAAAGTTACCTAGAACTTTTTCTGGATGTAGTATTCATCAGCTCATGGTTTTATTGATAGATATATAGGCATAAAAATACATAAGTAAATGCATAACTTTAATCACAAAACAAATTTTTATAAGTAGAAGTTATCACCCAATTCCCTTGCATCTGCTAAGTAGAATGATGTTTCAAAATTATTCACGGTAACTGCTCTAGTTTCTAATCCTTTCTATTTCTACTGAAATTCTACTTCAAACACTGTTTAAATTTTGACAACCCAAATCTATTTTCTTCAGTTATAACTAATAGATAAAATTTCATAGACAGATCAAAATATTACTCTTTCAAAGCGTTGAAATTATTATTCAGTATAAACTAATACAACTTGATATAATTAGAGCAGAATATAATTTCTTTCTCCTCATCCCATTCAACTTGACAGTGCCTGAAATCTCACACACTCATTACTCCCCCAGATTTTGTACACCATCAATCTTATCCCAACCTCATAATTTGCATAAAACAGTTTTGTTCTGTCATGACAATTGGGATTATTTTGTACTTTGTTGGGTTTCTTTCAACCCAAAGGATTATCTTCTCTCCTTCACTGATTTTCCTTTTCCCCCTTTCCTTTTCTCTTTCTTTTAAAAAAAATTTCAAAATGACTACTTAATTAGTAAAAAATAAAGAAAGAAAGAATATCGAATTGGGTATGACATAAATAATGCATTCAATTTAATAATCTGAACTACGAAATTCTAACATGTAGACACACTTTTATTCATTTAGCCTAGTTCTTAAAATAACGCCCTCTGCTTCTGTGGGCAACCTTCAGGTATGACAGAATCAAAATTGTCTGAAGTTGGAAAGGCCATAGTTTTCAGTTAAAATGCTACCAGTTCTCACCAAAATACTAGGGGAAAGCAATTTCTGTCAATTTTATGGAAAGCAAGTATATTTTAAAATGAAAACATAATTTGGTAATTTTATTAATGCATTGAGGTAAATGACCTTGAAAAAATTAAGACAGCAGAGGTACTCTTTTAACCAAAGGAGATTATGCATCTCTGTAAGAGGTGGGCAGTCTGTTGATTAAGCGCCTAGCTCTCCAGTCCCCTTCTTCTGTCATGATCCTTAGATGTATACATAAAATTGTTTAGACCTACTTCTAAAAGTAATATAGGTAGTTTTTCTGTAGCTTTGTGCTGTTATGAAATTCTGGGATTATATCACAATAGCAGTTCTTCTCAAATTTCTAGGTGGATAAGAATCATAAGGAGAGCTTGCTGAAATTCAGGCTCCTTTTCTCCATCACCAGATTTAAGTTAGGCGTACTAGGACAAGGTCCAAATTTGCATTTCTAACAAACTCCCAGTTTATATTGACACAGTTGATCTAAGGAATGAAGAACATTGCATTGTATAGACCTGTTCTACAGCTCAGAGAAGTGTGAGATGGAGTCCAAAAGAAACTGTTATTATACATTTATTTACACAATATTTAAACTAAGCTATATCATGTTTGTATTTGTTACATTTGTATGATGTTTATATACAGCACATATATTTTTTCATATATAAGAACTCTGGCATGTAGTGAGTATGCTTACATAGATTAATGGGTATTTGTGGATGTTTTACCTCAAGACTTTTAGATGTGGGATTTTAATTTAGTTAAAAAGTTGTAAATTCTACACTGGCAAAATCTATTTTACCATTGAAATCTAAGCATTGTTCTTTATGTTTAGAATTAAACTCACTCACCCCCAGTGATGAAGAGGAGGGGGCAGAGGGGGAAACGGGATATGGAGAAGTGCACAGTAATTACAGCAGATGAAGACGACCTAAGGAATGTGAAGTCTTCAAAAAATACATAGTTTGTTAATAAATGGTCATAGGAGTTCAGCTATAATTGGAAATATAATCCATGACATGTCCTTTCTGAAGGATTTGCATTTAGCACAATGTATGTGTTTGAGTTGGGTGCATGTATTCATTGGCATGCACTGTAAAATCACATTTTTTGTGCTCCTTTCCTCCATCACTTACTAGTTGGGTGACCTTGAGCCTGTTTCTTCACCTCTGTTAGTCTCATCCATAAAATAAGAAAAATAATAATTTCTACCTTATGCTGTTGGCATGAGAAGTAAATCAGTCGATATATGTAAAGTGCCTGTTACAGAATAAACACACTAAATTAATTTTTCCTTTCTTTTTTTTTTTTTTTACTTTTGTCTTTGCTTTCTTCCTCATATACTATGAGTCCACTAGACTTGCCTTTTGTAAGGTCTTTAATGTGTCTCCTCATTTGCTTTATTTTAGTTTAAAAAGAGTGTGAGCTTTAGGTCCATACTTGCCTTCACCATGTTCAATCTGTATGGTATGGGGCAAGTTATTGAATATAGGTATCAATTTTATCATCTGTAAGTTGATGATAATAATCAAAAGATTATTTTTGATTTGGTATTTGTGGGACCTGTGATGTCACTGTGACTTTTTGATTTTTCCTTCCTTACCTTACGCTTGTTCTGTCATTCAATTTTTTTCAGGCTAATTTGTAATAACTTATAAATTATTATTTTAAGAACAGGTAGGTTATTTGCAGGAAAAAAATAGAGTCTGATGTAGATAAAGCAAACAGCTATTATGTGAATCAAGAAGCTAATTAAATCAATAAGCATTTATTGGAGCACACTAAGAAACAGCTTTTGATCTGGTTGCTGAGAATGCAAATCTGCCCAAGAAGGTAGCTCTTGCCTTCAACTGGGTCACAGTTAGGCAGATGAAAGAGAAATGCATGTAACCAAGGATCTTACAATGTAGTAAGGTCTATAATAGGGGCTACTGTAGCATGAGAGAAGGAACTGAACTTTTCTGTAATGGCATGGAATTATCCAGAGGACAGTACAAATGGACATCTATCATGATCATGAACATGCATGAGCATTCAAGACAGAAAAGGCACAATATGCAAAAGTGACAGTGTCTAGCAAGCAGAGTTCAATATCTATTTTGGATTATCCTAAAAATGTGGGCAGGGAGAAGGTGAGAAGGGCTTTCCACATCTTGCTATCGGGCTTGAATTTTACCCTATTTTATTTTAATTTTACCCTAAATTATAAGGATCCATTTATGACATTTATGCAGAGAATGGTTCAAATGATGATGATTGCCTGAAATACAGCAGTGAACATAAGAGAAGATGATAGAAGATTGGACTTGAACAAATTTAGGTAGTAAGTTCTGGGAGATATGTGATTTAGTAATTATGAAATACGAGGTAGACGAAATCATGCTAATAATTCTCCTTTGTAAATAGATTCACCTCTTTTGCTTCAGACGAGATTACCAGTGTTATAACTAGGACCTCTGCTGGGGTTGTATAGGTTCTACCTCCTGTCTGAGGATTCCTGAACAAGAACAAAATTCATTCACAGGTCATTTTGGTTAAGTCATAGAACTGGACCAAAAAAACTGTATCACCCTCCAAAAAAGGGAATCTTGTTATAATTCTTCTTTTCAGAAAGAGAACCTTTTAGAATACATCTGTCATAGGGTCCACCCTTGTTTGATTTGCCCATTGTGTTAGTCACCTCGGCTTGTCACAATAGAATACCAAGAAATTTATTTCTTGCAATTACAGAGACTGGAAGCCTGAGATCAAGGTTCCAGCATAGTTGGTTTCTGGTGAGGTCTCTCTCACTGACTTGTAGAAGGTTGGTCACATTCACCTGGTGGGGGTGGGGCGTAAGAGGTTGGGAGAGAATGCAAACTTTCTCTCCTTATAAGGTGTGTCTCCTTATAAGGACACTCATCTCATCATGCAAGTCCACCCTCATGACCTCATCTAAACCTAATCACCTCCCAAAAATACCATCTCCAAATACCATCACACTGGGGGGCTCAATTTGGGGAGGTGCAGTTCAGTTCATGACACTCACATTTTTGCAATTCATCTACTTGCAGGAAAGATCTTTCTTTAAAACACACACAAAACAGACCTTCTAACCAAGGCCATGGGACTGCTGTGACTACGACTTATATCACTTCCTACCTATGTGATTTGGAGCAAGTTACTGAATCTATGCCTCAAATTTCTCTGCTGTAAAACAATAATAACAATAAAACATAATAGAATGTTTATGAAGATTAAATCAATAAACAATGTCATAGAATAGAATCTAGTATAAAAATGCAGTATTTGCTCTTAATTTTTATATACAATGCAACAGTATTATAATGTGCAAAGACAGAGCATAAAAATATGTATGGCTTCAATATTATCCATTTTACATGCAAAGTTTTGTGGTGTTTTCTTGAATATCTTGATTTATTAGCATTTTAAAGCTCATGGGTTGTGAATTTAAAAAAATTTGCTCCTAATCCTCTAGAGGACAGTTTGTCAATCATTTTCTCTTTTCACTATGTATGAAGTATTAGTTAATCTGGAGCTTGTTGACGCCTGGGGAACCACAATTATAAAATGTTACTGCAGTTTCATTAGGGCTGGTTTATTTCTAAATATTATCCAGCCCCTTTTCTGTATGTAACACTTCTCATATTTGTCTTCAACAGTTTGGCAGAAATGATTCGATTCTAATACCTTTTTCACTGTGTAATTTAAATAATATTTTCAAAAAATCAAAATGTTTATTAATAAGAAGATTTGTTTTAACCATCATTATGGCTTTTCTTTATAACACCATTCTTCTAAATAGTTCTAACTGCAAGTCTCATAGATCCCGTCTATTATTCACTAGAAAAGGGGCAAGTGTTTTTTCTATTTTATAAATGATGTAACTTTAGTCTGCTCCCCAAAGTGTGGGATTGTCTAAGATATTCTTTAGTTTTATGGCAAAAAGCTATAGAGATTTGAATCTTAGTTGTTTAATCAGAATTACGTACTTGAAGAGAAAATAATATGCCTTCCTGGTATA